GATTGCTTTAACATACATGATAATTATATTTTATTTTTGGCATATTATTCTATGTACATACGTAGAGAATGATTTTCCCATAATGGGAAATACATGTATGTACATACGTACAATGCCTCAATATTTATGTAGAGATGATGCATAAATTAGTAGTATATTGAAAATAAATATCCTAAATTATCAATCTCGATAAACGAAGAGAATCTCTTTGCATGTATCTTCAATGAGTTTGTTAACCTTTATTCTATATAAAGTGATTGAAGTTGTTAGGTTTCTTGCACCGTACGTACGTATGTATATACTATAAAAGCATTTCATTAATGCAATAATATAATATCTGGCGCAATAATAATTGTTATTACGAACCCAAAATAGATATCCAAGTAAAGTATTTAGCATATGAAATTTTAATGTGTAATGTCTAAATGAATATAAAAGATCTAATGCTGAAAGTTTTTCCAATCGGCCTAAAAACCTGCTACGTACATATGTAGCTTTAGATGTTCAAGTTAGTACAAATTTAATCTTCTATCAAAATCTATTTTTCATGTTTTAACGTTAAATACATAATTACAGGTTATGAAATTGTTAAATGCATTCAAAAAAGTTTAATGAGTATTGAATATTAATAGAAAAAAAATATTTATGAACTATCTAGAACCAACCAAGCTAATCTGTTGTATATAATCTCACAAAGTCGAATTAAATGTTATGCCATAAATAGTAAGGACATTTGGTTTACATCTGAAGAAAAAAAAATTCCAGTTTTGTATAGCGATAGCGCAAAAATATATAATTATAGAAACTTATTGTATGAAATTAGTATTAGTCATAATTACATAATAACAAAGTATATTCGAATAATGTAATAATTTCATATAAATACTTAACTAGCTAATCTTCGTACTAAATTATTCTTAATTCTTGATTCTTGACTCTTGACAATGTCAAGAAAAAAAGCCCATAAATTCACTAATTATATTGAGATCCTTGATGATAAGGCTGATGAATGGAGGAATTATGCAATTTGTTGTATATGTCGTGATACTGTCAGTAAACCAGCTGCTATACTTTAAAGGTTTCCAAATAAAAGTGACAGAGTAAAAAATCACTTAAAAAAATGTAAGCATTTTATTGAAGAACAAGGTGGTATAGAAATGGCGTTCAAAATATTAGATATAAAGTTAGTAGAAGCAGGTGAAAATTCAGATACGGATGTTAATAACAAAAGGCTTCGCATAGAAAAAATGAGTAAGTGCTATATATTTAAATCTAATAAATGCTGTAATTTAATAATTATAATTTTATAATAGTCAAAAAATTTTTTTTTAGAAAAAGAATCACTAGACAAATTTGTTGTTCGGCCTTTATCAAAGAATGACAAAAAGAAACTAGAAACTCTCTTAGTTCATGCAACAGTCTCTGCAGGGTTTTCATTATGATAGGTGCAAAATAAAGAAGTTCGGGAATTATTTGAATTTTTGAATCCTACTTTAAAATTACTCAGACGTCAAACCTTAGGTGGAAGAATTTTAAATAAAGAAGTAAAAAGACTTGAAGATAACATGGTGATAAAGCTTAAAAATAATTCAGTTAGACCAATGCTTGCCTTTGACGGTTGGACCAATGTAATTAACCAAAATATCATGGGTGCAGTTTTTATTACACCTGAAGGAGAAGTATTAGTCTGGAAGGTAATGGATATTAGTGGTGAAAGAGAAAGGTGGAGAGAAGTTATAGAAAAAATCGAATTAATGTTTAGTGAAATTATTCAAATGGGAGTAAAGCTAATTGCAGTCGTTTGTGATAGTGCATCTTCTTATATCGCTGCAAGGCACATAATAAAATCGTATAGTACTTACATTAATATTTTTTTTAAAATAATTAACTTTTTAATAAATATAGACGTCATCTTTGATTAAAATATATTGATATTTCTTTTTTGCCATATTACGCTCATCAAATGAATTTATTTGTGGGTGAAATTTTTAAGGAATCTATTGAGTTTCGTCAAATAGCAGCCAATGCAATTAAAGTGGCAGTTTATTTTCACTCAGCGCAACATAAGTATTTTATTAGTAAATTAAGAGATCTACAGAATGAATTTTATAAAAAATATATTTCATTAGCGGTTGGTAATAATATATGGTGAAACAGTTATTTGGAATGTTTTCGTTCATTACTTAAGTTGAAGTCTGTATTAAGAGTATAAAAAAATCGTACAGTATTTGATTTTATACTGTTATTTAATATATACTTAAATGATTCTTTTTTTATATTAGATACTCGCTTCTAAGTTTGACCCTCTTGAACCGTTAGATGATGATTCTTTATATCTTCCAGAAAATATTACATCAATTCTTTTAGATAAAAGTTGGTAGCACATATTACAAAAACTTGCTAACATTTTAACGCCTTACAGTATTATTATCGATCTTCTTCAAAAAGTCAAGGCACATTTGCATGAGGTCTTACATGGATTTGGTTATTTCGTGGAATTTTGGAAAAGATATGAAGATTTGAAATTTGGCCAACAAATGTTAAATAGATTAGAATCATGATGGAGAGAATGGGAACAACTGCTTCTTCTCTTGTCTTGGCTTCTTCATCCAAATTACTAAATGAAAAAATTTAAGTCTAACATAGCTAACCTTAATCATGTATATCTTAGTAAATAGCTTATATATTACTATGAAGCTTGGTCATATAATAAGTCTCAATCGATTTTACGTGAGTATAAAAATTTTCGAAGAGGTGCTTTTCCTTTTGATAATTAGTCAATTAATCATTTCAAAGATAGTGTTTTTGAGTTTTGGTCCTGGGCTACACCGACTGCAAAAGAGCTTGCATTTGTAGCACAAAAAATATTTGGAATTTGCATAAATGCAGCTTCAGTAGAATGTTTATGGTCATGTATAGGTTTTCTTCATACGAATCGACAATGCTAGTTGCATGTAAGTATAGTATAATTGTGTATTTATCAAATAATTTTAGGTTAATTGCTATATTTATTATATAGTATAAAAAAGCATTAAATATGAGTAAGCTTCGGGCCTCTATTACTTATCAACATCAGTTAGATGATAAGGAGTTATGTAATTCTGAAGAAAAATCCAAAGGCGAACTCTCTTCTGATATTGAAAAACTCTCTTCTGATATTGAAGAACAACTATCTAATAAAAAAGATCGTGAAGAATTGAAAGGATT